AAAAACAAAACCGTGAACCAACGCAAAAAAACAAACAACAACAACAAAAAAACAACCCAACAACAACCCCCCAAAAAAACAAAACAACAGCAACAACAACAACAACCAACCAACCAAACAAACAAACAACACTGTTCATAACCAACTCAGAAAATAATTTATTACTTACCCCCATGGTCAAAATTACGTTAGGTATCACTATTTTACGTTTTTCCAATTAACATTCTTCAAACCCCACCCAGTCTATGGTTCCGAATCATTAACACGACTTTGTTTACCTTGGAATGTTTGTGGAGTTTTATAAGATGTCCACCTCGTTGACTTGGTTTTATGAGAGACAGAGACGGGCATGGGATTGGAATGTGAGAGTCTTTCCTCTTCTTACAGTCTTGAATGAGTACCGAGTTGCAAAAGTTCTGTCACACCCATCTTAAAAGTACAATAACTAATTTACTACTCAACGTAGCCAAGAGAAATTTTGTACACGCGATCTTTATTCATTTCTGCCAGCATGACATAAAAAGAATTGACAAATGTCTTTCCTTATTCAAGGGGTATAATTTTATTCACACTGACTTTTGCAAAATCCAAATCAAAGTTTGCCCAGTATGGCGTGTGGCCTCTTCTAGCTTGAATTACTGATACAAAACATCTGTTCATTGATTGAATTGAAGTCCTTATGGTTGTTTGAAAAATCCCCTGCCATTCCTTGTGAAGTGCAGCCTTCAGTTCCTGACCAGTTTGTACTGAGTGCGGCCTGTTTGTAATCCTCCAGTCAAGGTCATCTTACAGATGTTCTGTTAGGTTATGGCTTGTGGATCTTGCAGGCCAGTCCAGAACAACGATTTGATGTGTTTGGAAGAAGTTTTCCTTGATCGTAGCCATTTGTGGTCGGGCGTTGTCTTGTTAGCAGATTCCATCATTGGTTCCATGTAGCGTAGTCACCGTCGTTATTTGAGATTGCTTTGAAAAGTAACTAAATGTATACGATAAAAAGCAGAGACTCCACCCCGTACCATCACATTTCAGCCACCTTTGGGCCTCTTGGGGGACGTTAGATTTGTGAAATTTCTATTCTCTTCTTTTAAACACTTTTTCTCTTCCATCAATGCGACGAATTAAAAACCTTAACCATTGCTGAAAAGAACACTTTACCAACGTCTTCAGTTTTATGGACAATGTTGTTGTGCCAAAATTTGGCGATTTCTGACATGAAACAGGGCTAGAATGGTTCTATATAAAGGGCGATAATCACGTAATCCACGATCTTAAAAATGTCCAATAATGATGTTTCAAGACAGTCCGAAATACCTAGCAGTCTCTGCACTAAGTTGGACTGGGTTTTGAACATGGGTGTTGACAATAACCCAATTCTGATGTCGAGTTGTCGCCCTTGGTGGCTACGTCTCGGCTTGTCTTGGTCAGTTCTAGTGGTGTTAAAACGTTTGTTCAAGGGTTAGATGATTCCTCTGCAAACATTTACGTGTCTTGCAAAAGCAGAAAGCGCTATTAAAGAATTTATCATACACACGGCCCCTTTATTTTCTGAATTTATCATTTTTAAAATTTTGAAAACAGGAGAAAAAGGTACCCAACCATTAAAAAGTACGGAATTTTATAATGTGTAAGGTGTGTTTACACATTGTCTGTGTGATTCAAAGCAAATTTTGTGTGTAGGAAGTGTTGATATCAACACAGACCGAGAGAAATCAATACCAACACTTTGTCCCCGTTCTACTTCCGGTTTATTATTTCTTTGGTCTGCTCTTGCACAAGAAGTCTCATACGTCCCACAAGTCATACTTTTAAATTTTACTTAAATTACTATTCTATATCGAAAATTATCGTAATATAATGGGTGTGACTGAACTTTTGCAACTCGGTATATCTATGAACGCGATGTCCTCTTCACGCTTAAACGGATAGTTTGATCCTTCTTCAACCAACAAAACAGGACAGCAGCCACAGTGGTTGTTATTTTGTGCAGGTGTTCTTCTGTCAGACTATCCTTGCTGGTTGCCTAATATGTATTTGAAATGATTGCTGTACATTGAAGTTTACGGTATTGTATGCATGAAACGTGTCATTGTGTAGTATGAGGGGGAGTAAAAAAGTAATGCAAGTAGCTCCTTATTTAATTTTGCACATTTTAGAATCAAATTTAATTAAATTCAGCTAACAAGTTCTTGCTCATGTACATTTGAACACAAACTGTTAAAACTGGAGTTTCTTTAAGTTTGGCGCGAATGACGTCACATCAAAATGGATACCCTCTTGGAGGTTTGTCAAAGGTAAAGATAAGATATTGAATTTCTTGTTTTAGAAGGAGAATACACCGATAACATCTAAAAGAGAATTCAAAATGTTTACAAGGACCAAGCTCTAAATTTTGGCACTGCACACAGGTGGCTTAGACGTTTGAGCAATGAACCGGGAGAAGAGGAAGAAGTGTCCATAAGCTTGTCAGACAAGCAGCGTCCCGAGGAGTCAGCCGGAAAAAAATTATGTCAATCGCTTCTCCCTGGTTTTTTTTTTTTACCACGAGGAGCAACTGTCTATTCTGGACCCTACATTGAAAGACTGAAACCACTAAAAGCGAGATTTCGACAAGTCAGACAAAATTTGAACACAGAATGAATGACAATGCCCGCCTGTATTCGAGTACCAGGACAAGGGAGACAATCCCCCCGTTTATGTGGAAAACGCTGAAACACCGAACTGATACTCCTGATTTGGCTCCTTTAGACTTTCACCTTTTCGGTCCTAGAAAAGAACCATTCAGAGGTCAACACTGTGGAAACGATGGAGAAATCAAGACTGCTATACCCCTACGACCAACCTGCTTAGTTTTACAAAGCTGGCATATGTGGGAGTTGTAAAAGGTGGGTAGTGGCTATTGATCGAAACGGAGACTAGGTTGAGAAATAAAAATCTGATCTTCAGATGCTCCTCTTCAATTTGAGGTATGATAGTTGCAAGTGTGTTATTTTTTAAAAAAGTTATAAACGAACTTGCATTACTTTTTGACTCACCCTGGTATATACGGTGGTGGAATTAGATTTTACTGTGAAGCACCAAGAGCCACCAGGGAATGGGTGCTATAGAATTCTGAATAGATCCGTATTACTTATCATTTTAGAGGTAAGACTATTCGCCGTTGCAAGCGGAAGACGTAGGTTCAAATCTCAAATGAGAGCCTCACTTCGTTTGCAGAATTAAACAACGAAGGAAATGGTTTGGTCATAATCTGTCAAGACTACCACCAGAGAGTATAGCAGCGAAAGAAAGCAACTAGAGATCAGACGGGAACAGAGGAAGAGGTAGGCTAAAGAGAAGATGGATAAAGTGGGTCAGAGAAACATTGGGCAGGAAAAACATAATCATGCAACAGGCGATACAACAAATAAGGCGAGACATTTGCTTGTCTCCCAGAAACCGCAAGTTAACAGTCCCGAAAAATTAAAGTGAGTAAAATGTAAGTAATATTTATTAATGTTCAGCATTCACAGCCGTGCAAACGGTTTGACCTCATATAGCCTTTTGGAATTCTTATTTGGATAGTCATTGACGGGTTTCTATTTTTCAGGTTTGGGCTCGTTTGATTGAAATTGTATTTAAAGTCATTATAAATTATAAAGCAGTCCCTTGTTTTTTCTTCCTCACACAGAATGACAGTTGACCGACGGAAATCAGCAGTTCCTTTTCTGCTGTTTGTCTTTATTGCAGTAAGTATAATGCTGGAAAGAGTATTCTGGCAGCGCCCTATGTTTTCATGATTTATATTGCTTTGTGATTTTGTAGACCTGTGTCGTATACCGCAGGTAGCCACCCCTCTCCTCTACAAATAATTAGTGTGGCTCAGAAGATCCTAGTTGTCCCATTGCACTCAAGCAGCATATTATGTAACCCCTTTTATGACGGAATTGGATTATATGCTCTCTCTCTCTCTCTCTCTCTCTCTCTCTCTCTCTCTCTCTCT